ATCAGCACCAAGAACACGGACTCTAACAGGGCGTACGAGGGTCAGGTCTGTTTTCATGGTGAGGTGCCATAGACACGGCCCCAGGTCCCCACAGGAAGCTCTAACGAACTTCAGTTACAGCCAAAACTGGTTTGGCTCAGTGGACAGAGCCTCGGTCTGCAGACTGAGGGGTCCCAGGTTCGATTCCAGTCAAGGGTATGTGCATTGGTTGCAGGCAGATCCCTGGTGGGGGGTGTGCAGGAGGCAGCTGGTCGATGATTCTCTCTCATTGATGTTTCTAGCTCTCTATTCTCTCTTCCTCTCTGTAAAAAAAATCAATAAAACATAAAACAAACAAACAAAACCTCCAGTTACAGCTGCAGGGCACCCCACAGCATGGTTGCCAACTGCCACCGCAGGCTGCTCGCCCCGTGAGCGGCACACACACATCCCGGTGCAAGCGGGTGGCTAGGAAAACGGGCTGTTCTGCTTCTCGTAGGACTACGATGTGCAAAAGGAAAGGCTGGTTGGAAAGGCATAGGTATTTTAAACGTCAACGAGTCAGATGGTTAGAAAAGCTCTAACCATCTCCACCACAATAGGTATACCAATGCCAATTACCCAGGGCCTAGCAACCCCTGACAGGTGGCAAGAGCACAACATTCCCCTTCACTTCAGAATGAAAGGATGTCTTCAGCCCTAACCGGGTTGGCTCAGTGGAGAGAGCATCAGCCTGCGGACTGAGGGGTCCTGGGTTCGATTCCTATCAGGGGCATGTACCCTGGTTGCGGGCACATCCCCCAGTGGGGGGTGTGCGTGAGGCGGCCGGTCGATGTTTCTCTCTTGTTAATGTTTCTAACTCTCTATCCCTCTCCCTTCCTCTCTGTATAAAGTCAATAAAATACATTAAAAAGAAAAAAAAAGAAAAGAAAAAAGAATGCCTTCATGTTCAGAAGAGCAGATAGATGTAATCAGAATAGCAAACAGTAATATTTTACTGGGCAGAGGAAAATGAGCAGGGATCCGAAGTACAAAAGCAATGAAGAGGCCGCCCCAAAGGTGACATTTTAAAGTACACGTCCAAGATCATCGACATCAATGACAAAAGGAACGAGGACGAAATGACAAAGAACTGCAGGAAGAGCTGAGTGAGGTACTGTATGTGAAGAATTAGGGAAACCCCTCTTCCCCGCCTCCGCAAACAGAGTGAATGCTGAGGTCTGCTGTCAGCAGGTGGTTTTCACTGCTGTCACCCCCCGATGATCAGATTTGAGAGGAAGCCTCCCCAGGAGGTAGCAGCCGGCCGGCCACATGGCTTTCGGAACCCTTCTGCCCGTATCTGTTTCTAGTATAGTTTTAGGGACCGCTATGGGAACTAGCTTTGAAGGGAGTCAAGTTAGGGTGAGAGGGTTTTCCGTGAAGAGCTGACCCACACGGGGAAAGTGGGGGCAGACGGGGGGGGGGGGGGGGGCAGAGGAGGGGGGGGGGAGCCGACACACTCCAGGCAGGCCCAGCAGTGCTTGGAGACTGAGTGGGTGGAGGGTAACAGCTCCCAGCAGGGACCATGGGGTGCAGGTCAGGCCCAGGCTCACCAATTAGCAATTCACCAAGTAAAGAATGGGGGGCTTGGGAGAAGGAGGAGTGTGGGGTTAGAAGGTGATCGAGAGGACTAATTTAATTTCCATTACGAAGCCTGAGGTGTCTCTGGGACCCTGTCCTGCAGCCAGGATGGCTCCCGAGGGAAAGGGCAGGGCTGGAAGTCCGTGTGTGAGCGATGGCTAAAGTCATCGGCTTCGGAGAGAAACCGGAATCCAAACCCCACAGGTCCCCACTCATTAGCCAATGGCCAGGATATCTGAGCTGAAGTCTCTTCAACTTTAATCAACCAGGGAAACTACCCTTGTGTGCGGCCAACAGGATGGACCGGTGGCACCTCCTAGAAATTCCAAAACAGGGAGCTCACCAGCATCCCTATTCACAGCAAGGCTGTCCGGGGAGGCGGAGAGAGAACAGGGAGAGGCTGCCCCCTCTGCCTGGACAGCCGGTCCGAGGACCGGGTGCACGTGGGGCGGGGCGAGGAGGAAGGAAGCTTGTTCTCTTCCTTGTGAAGAGGTAGGTACCTTCTCAACCAGGAGTGCAGGAAGGGCTTCAGCAGCAGCTGACAGGAATGCTCAGGGAAGGCTCCCTGTGAACTGGACCCGGATCTCCCATCCCACTGCGAAAGCCCACCCTGCACCAGAGGCTGGGGGTGGTGATGTCACCGGTCTCAGGGTGTCCCTGAACTTCCCAGCCAGGCCTGATAGGGTGGAAACAATATCTCCAGATGGGAACCGGAGGGGAAGCCCCAGGCCGTGTCTTTGGGAGGGGGAATAACCTGACGTCATCCCTTGGCCCGGGCTCTACCCTGTGTGCACGGCGGGACTTTCCTGATGAGTAAGCGTGGGTGAGGGAAAGGTCTGGGAGCCAGTATGCGAAACCTCTGCGTTCACCTGGGAGGAGCATGACAGTGCACGGTTAGTTACCACACAAGTAACAAATGACTCCATCAGCCTTTTCCTTCTGATGTCATCTGTAACGCTTGAGGAATCCGGATCCTTGTGAATATGGAGTTCTATACTCCGCTATTTTATTTTTTAAAAATATATTTTATTGATTTTTTTTTTTTTTTTTTTTTTTTTTACAGAGAGGAAGGGAGAGGGATAGAGAGTTAGAAACACCGATCAGCTGCCTCCTGCACACTCCCTACTGGGGATGTGTCCACAACCAACGTACATGCCCTTGACCGGAATCGAACTGAGATCCTTTCAGTCCGCAGGCCGATGCTCTATCCACTGAGCCAAACCGGTTTTGGCAATACCCTGCTATTTTAAACAGCTATAGTACAGCCCTGACCACGTGGCTGTTGGTTGAAGCATCATCCTGCACACCAAAGGGTTGTAGGCTCGATTCCCAATCAGGGCACATACCTGGGTTGTGGGTTCGATCCCTGGTTGGGGTGTGTATGGGAGGCAACCAATGGATGTTTCTATCTCTCTCTCTCTCCCTCTTTCTCTTCTCTCCCTTCCTCTCCCTAAATTAATAAACATATTCTTGAAAATTAAAAATCAAACCAACATCACAGTACAACCATTTTCTTAAGCCATCATCCCCAAACACTTGTACTTTGACAGCCGTAGAGACTTGGATGATGTGCCCTACACACGAGGTCCAGCTTCCTCGCCTTTGGTGTGATCACGTTCATTCAATCACTCCAAAAATACAGGCCGCAGTGCTGTGGGCGTTAGGGGTAAAGCGGCAAACAGGAGGGTCTTTCCCGCAGGGGCCCGATGCACAAAATTCGTGCAAGAAGAGGCCATCCTTCCCCCCACTGCCGGCACCGGCTTCCCTCTGGCACCCAGGACCCGGGCTTCCCTCGCATCCCCCGGATTCATCCGAAGGATGTTCAGTCTTATTAGCATTTTACGCTTTTATTATTACAGATAGGGGAAGGCAGACAATACATATATAGTGTCAGGGGCTCAAAAATGATAGGAGAAATGATGGGATGGGAGGAGCGTGGAATGACCTCAGTCTACCCGTTATGTTTTAGGTAGAACCACATGAAACTGCCGATCTCCGACCATTTCTAAGGTACAGAATGCTCCATGTCCCACGGGTCTACCTGAGAGCTTCGTTGCATAGGGAGACAATCGAGAATCCTTCTGATGATGGGCGACACATTACAACGAATCCCAGAAAGGCAGCAGACACACAGAGCCGGCTGACTCAGCCTTCCTCCCATGACAGAAGACGGAGGAGAGGCTCTGGGTACAGCAAGTTCAGAGGTAACGAGGGGAGGAGCAGGAAGACCGTGAGTGGTCTGGGTGACAGAAGGGGGGACTCTGGTAGGAACCACCAAACAGTTCACGCCCCTCGGCACTTCTCCCCACGGCTCTGGATCAGGATGTAGAGCGCAGTCACCTGTCTCCATCCAGGGCACCCTGGGAGGCGGTTATTTCCACCAGGAATGGGGGGGAGGGGGCAGGAATCCCCACGAGAGTCCCACTTTCCCTTGTGATTTCTTCAACTGCTTCTAACGGCAGAAGTAGCCCAGGATCTCGGCAGCCTATTACTGCTTAATTTTGGGGGTAAAGATACAGTACATCTTACTTGTGTAAATAATGAACAATCCCTAGTTCCCCAACCAGCTGTGGACCGACAATGGGAGAAGACAACCAGGCACTGTGTGCCTCCTGACAGGCGGGGGTTTCCGCCAAGACCTTGAACCTGGTTCTGATCAGGCCTCCAGAGCAAACCTCTGGTTTCTGGTAATGAGAGGAGACGGGAAGACGCCAAATGACTTTTGGGGATGCAAACTATAACATCCAGCTCGTGGGGGACTCCCCAGGACGAGAGAGGAGGCCAGAGGGTGGGGATCTCCTGACAAAGGATTATCAATCAATACACTCGTGAGTAACCGGCAACCTCACCTTGCCCTTTGTTAACAAATCAACCAGAAAAAGAAGGTTTGTGAGGCAAGAGGAACAAAGAGAACACTGCCTGGGCACTTAATACTAAGGAAATATTACCGTAAGTAACTTTTTCTTTTTTAAAGAGTCCTTATCTTTTAAAGTTATAAATGTTGAAACGGTGATTATTCTATTTGGTATACGTGTAAGAATCCCACAATTAAAAAGCTTAAAACAAGTCTGTGGGCCCCGGCTGGCACGGCTCAGTGGTTGAGCATCAACCTATGAACCAGGAGGTCACGGTTCGATTCCTAATCAGGGCCTTTGCCCAGGTTGTAGGCTTGATCCCCAATGTCAGGTGTACAGTAGGCAGCCAATCAATGATTCTCTTTCATTACTGATGTTTCTCTCTCTTGCTCTCTCTCTCTTCCTCTCTAAAATCAATAAGATATATTTTAAAAAAACAACAAAAGTCTGTGGGTCTGCCCACCCTCCTCCCTAACTCCCACACACTGTCCACTTGAGTGGGGAATCATCTTCCAGGCGCCTTCTGCGGCACAGAGGACGGCATACCTGTCGATGAACTGGTCAATGATGACGATATCACCGGGCTGAATCTCCTCCCTCAAGGAACCGCAAGCCGTGGTCACTATGACATGAGTGCAGCCCTCCTCCTTCAGGGCCCAGATGTTCGCCCGATAGTTGACTTTGGAAGGCATGATGGTATGCTGCCTCCCGTGCCTGCGGGGAGAAGAGCGAATGAGAAGAGTGAGCAGTGCGATCTCATTGTGTCAGAAGAGAAAACCCACTTACAGCCCTTCCCACGAAAGCGCATTCACTGGCAGAGGGGGAAAAGAGGCTGGGCAGTGACCAGCCAACTCCAAGTCTAAGCCATTCGGTTTTAAAGCACCGCTCCGAGTCTGTGTCCTTATTTTCTTACCAGGAGCAGGTACTGCCAAAACTGGTTTGGCTCAGTGGATAGAGTGTCGGCCTGAGGACTGAAGGGTCCCAGGTACAATTCCGATCAAGGGCATGTACCTTGGTTGCGAGCACATCTCCAGTAGGGGGTGTGCAGGAGACAGCTGATCTGTGTTTCTCTCTCACCCGTTTCTAACTCAATCCTTCTCTCTTCCTCTCTGTAAAAAAATCAATAAAATATATTTAAAAAAAAAAAAAAAAAAAAGCAGGTACTAACTGACTTAGAATTCCCTCTCCAGTTAGCTGAGTTGTGTCTACCCCATGGGACACCAAGCCCCGCAACCAGAGGCATCTGGTCTTTTATCCCCAACACAGAAAACACGAAAGACTCCACATAGAAATAAAAGCTCAAGTTTCCAGGTGAAGCTCTCCATTCCTTCTGCCCGGCCACCCAAATTAGTTACTAAAGCCTTGAGAGCATGAAAAGGTTTTGTCTGAGAACCGGTCGCTTCACGCATGACCCCCGTGGCCCCCTCCATCCCCATGCTGAACTCCTAGCCGCTAGGACCAGCAGAATGCAACCATATTTGGAGGGAGGGTCTTCAACAGGGTAATTCAGTTAAAATGAGGTCATTAGGGAGGGCCCTAATTTAATAGAAATAGCATCCTTCCAAGAAGACAACACCTGGAGAGATACCCAGAGAGCAAGTGTGAAGGCACAGGGACAAGGGAACAGGGTCATCTACAAGCCAGAGAGGCCTCCAGTGGATCCTTCCCTCCGGGCCCTCGGAGGAAACCAATCCTGCGGACACCTTGCAGGTGGACTCAAGATTTGATGCCAACCAATGAGATACAGCAGAGCTGCTGGGGGTCCCTCCCACCGTGAGGCTTCACCCTGACAGCAGAGACCCGCCAGGGGGCCTGGCAAGGAGGGCTGCCAGCCCATGAACTTCCCAGGCAGAGGGTCCCGGGGCAGAGAGTGTGCACAGCCTGGAGGAGCTGAATTCTGCCGTCAGCCACGTGAACTGGAATGGGGATCTGGAGCTCAGGGTGGGAATGAACCCTGACTCTGCCTGGTGTGACCCAGAGCAGCAGACGGAGCTGAGCTGACACCCCCGCATCCACCAGGCTGTTTTAAGAAACGATGTGTACTGTTTGAAGCTGCTAGCCGTGTGGTTAATTGTTATGCAGCAACAGACAACAGTGTAATTTCTAACCGTGGGATACCAAGGATCGTTCTCCCCCCTATAACCAAGAACCCTACGGACTTGCTGAAGATAACAAGGGCCCAGAAACCACAGGGAAACCACTTCAGGGCCCCCAAACTCCCCGCAAACACAAACTAGAGCGACAGTCACTAAGGAAACAGCTTTACTTTATCTCATAACTAGTGAAAAAAAGAAAACTGAACAGAAGACGACATTTACATTTGTAGTGCTTCAACTTGAGTCAAGTTCATCCTGGCACTGGCTGGATGGCTCTCACCCTCCCAGCCTCAGGAGGCGCTGGGTGAGAGATGAGTCAGTCCAACTCGCCCAGCACGCCGTGAGCGGTGAGTGAAAGGCGACTGAAACCGTCGGCTTCTCCAGCACACGAAACTCTTTCCAGGCATCAGGACTCTTTCCAGGGTTTAAGCCAAATTTACATTCTCCCTCAGTAGCAGCATTCCAAAAGCTTAAAACATCTTACCTCGCCAGGAGGACACAATCGACGTTCTTTATCTTCCCCAAAATCAAGGCGTCAGAAGGCTGCACACAGGGGATAAAGGTTACAACTCAGTGATTTGGAAAACACAGATGAATAACCAAAAAGCTGCCAGTTCACCGGTTCCACCGTGACAGGTTCCATGGAAACCTGGGAGTTGGGACCATACACTTCAAAGCAGAGCCTGGATGTGATGACTCATCACCCGGTTATATGCACGGAGGCCTTGACAAGCAGACGCACAGGAATTTGAAGGCTGCCTCCGGCGCCTGGCGAGGTCCCGTTTAGTGAGACCAGTTAGGAGCAGGCACCTCAGCGGACTCAGACGGCAGGCTGATCAAAGATAGATAGCTGTGCCAGCCTAAACCGGTTTGGCCCAGTGGATAGAGCGCTGGCCTGCGGACTGAAAAGTCCCAGGTTCCATTCCGGTCAAGGGCATGTACCTTGGTTGCGGGCACATCCCCAGTGGGAGGCGTGCAAGGGGCAGCTGATGGATGATTCTCTCTCATCAATGTTTCTAGCTCTCTCCCTTCCTCTCTGTAAAAAAGTCAATAAAATATATTAATATATATATAAATATAAATATAAATAAATATATATATATATATATATATATATATATATATGCAGCTGTGCTGGTATCTGTCAGGTGTGAGAGCGCCGTGGGGGTGGGGAGGGATGGAAGTAAGACCTGAGCACTGGAACTGTTTGCTCGGTTCATCAACCAGAAAATGGCCCGTGGTGGCCTGAGGGAGAGCAGAGAAAGGTTTGGAGAACCTCGGGCAGTGGTCGGCAAACTCATTCGTCCACAGAGCCAAATACCAACAGTACAACGACTGAAACTTCTTTTGAGAGCTGAACGCTGACTTCTGCGCATGGGCCACAAAGTTTCAATCGCACTGTACGTGTGTGCCCGCACGTGGTATTATTTGTGGAAGAGCCACACTCGAGGGGCCAAAGAGCCGCAGGTGGCTCGCGAGCCGCAGTTTGCAGACCACTGACCTAGGGGCTCGAGAAAACAGAAGGCTAAGAAGTGAGCCAAGCTTATAGCAAAACTCAGCCTAGGGGCTCGCTGGAAAAGAGGGTGTGGTTGGGACTGTCAGCTGCAGGGACCTTCAGAGTCGGGTGGAAAACTGCAGTGTTTGGAAGCAGCCGGGTGGAACAGCTTCCTTTACCTAGAAAAGGAAGGTTTTACGATATTCCCACTTATGCAGTCTTGTTATGAATCCCTAGAAAACCCCTCTGGGCCAGGGCTTACTGTGAATGCTGCTTCCTCCCAGGGTCTTTCTCCTACATTAGTGTGACACGGCCTGTCTTCCCCAGATCAGAACGTTTTAAATGCAGAGAATGAAGGGTACAGGTGCTATGTCTAAAACGAGTGTGTGGCTTCTAGGAATATAAATTGAGAAGTAACTTGCACACGTTCAGCAGCAGTACTTTTTTGTTTGTTTGTTTTTATGTAGGAGAAATATACTACTACTCAACCTCTCCTGTAAGGTTGGCAGCCCTGAGAACTCCTCTCATGTAGCATGTTATGGAGGCATTCCTGCTCCCAAAGGAAGGAGGAGCAGACATATTTCCACATGCAGAGCAGCAGTCCTTTTAATATGAGAAAGGCCAGGGCGCCCTTCGAGACACTGTCTCCGCCGGTAGAAAACACTGACCGGACTCCTAGCTCCCTTTTTCAACAGCAATTATTTTAAACTTAAAAAAAAAAAAAAAAAAAAAAAATCAAGCCAGCTGGTATGTCTCCATCAACTGAGTGCTAACCTTGCCAAAGGGAGTGTCCACATATTTCTCGGTTCTTCCTTCTAAGATTTCCGGATCATCCAGGCCGGTTCCACCAACAATTCCAATCTGAGGGAGGCAACAAAAAGGTGTCACAGTTCACCAGTTTCCATCAGAAACAAGATTAGAAGCAAACCCGTTTCCTCACATGCTCTTTTTCCATTCCTGCTAGCTATTTCTTAAAACCTACAGCTACTGATGAACAGTCCTTCAACGCACATTTGAAATAACCCAAACGTAGGTCACCTTTTTTGGACTTGACCAGATACTCTATGGAGCGTAAACAGGAAACCAATCCTAAAAATAGGCAACTGAGGTCACAGAAAATACTCTATAACCAATTTTTTATTCTCTACTAAGTGGACTGTGGAATAAAGAATGTTCAAAAGATTCCTGGGATGGTCACTTCATAATGATTTCTCCTCATCACTCCATTAGATAAACACACATGAGAGATTTTCTTTCCTGAGCCATTAAAATTGGAGCTGTAGGGGACCACAGATAGAATGGCATAAAAAAAATCCCAACCTCGTGTATATTTATGAAATCCACAAATGTCATTCATATATACATGTAAATAAGTGAGAAATTCAAAGGTAGCTATAATTTTTTTTTTTTTTAAATTCCCAGTGTCGTGCCCTAATTGGTTTGGCTCAGTGGGTAGAGCGCCAGCCTGCGGAATCAAGGTTACCAGGTTCGATTCCAGTCAAGGGCATGTACCTTGGTTGCGGGCACATCCCCAACAGGAGGTGTGCAGGAGCGGCTGATTGATGTTTCTCTCTCATTGATGTTTCTAACTCTCTATCCCTATTTCTTCCTCTCTGTAAAAATATCAATAAAATATATTTAAAAAATAAAATAAAATTCCAGTGTCATATTGCATTTTCCAGTGTCTAACATCCTTGAGACCAATCCAAATTGATGATTAAGATGCACAAGCAAGAACAATTTCAAAGATAAATACAATATCAGCGGGCCAGCTAGTGAAAAAAATAGGTAAGTGAAGTGGTTAGGAAGGCTGCTACTTCCTAAAGGAGAAAGAATATTTAAATTGTCAGCAACAGGCAAGAGAGATGACACTTGACTAAGAAACCCAATGGAAAATGACCTGAGCACTCTTTAAAAAAAAAAAAAAAAAAAAAAAAAAAAAATATATATATATATATATATATATATATATATATATATATATAATGTTTTGATTTTTTTATGAGAGTCCACAGGCCGACGTTTTATCCACTGAGCCAAACTGGTTAGGGCCTGAGCACTCTTTTTCAATGTTTTAATTCTATGGTCACTTGAGTAAAATCTCCACTCAGTGGGAGAAAGGAGCTCTTTGAGGGGGGGAAAAAATCGTGAGTTAAGGTTTAACCGAACATCTGAATAATTTTCAGATGGGAAACCGCAATGTGTCCATCCATTCGCCCAGCTGGCTCGGATTGTTCATGGAAACATTTATCTTGCAAGGAACACAGGACAAGTATAGCAGCTGAGTTTAAAACAAGCTGATTTAAATTAATGTGGGCCCCAGTTTCCTGGAGGAAAAAAGTCAACAAAACAGAAAATAAGGGCAATTTGGTGAGATTTTGCTGAAGAGCTGCCTGCTACATGATTTGGAACTCTGCCTCCCCACAACTTCCTGAAGTGGCTAAACCAGTTTTTTTAAAAAATGTCTTTATTGACTTTTAGAGAGAGAGGAAGGGAGATGGACAGACTGAAACATGGATGAGAGAGAAACACCACCAACTGGCTGCCTCCTGCACGCCCCCTTCCCCTTCCGGGGACCAGCCCGCCACCAGACTCGTGCCCTGACCAATGACCCCTGACCAGGAATCAAACCGGGACCTCCGGGTTCATAGGTCAAAGCTCAACCACTGAGCAACCACTCGGGCTAACCCAGTTTTTGAAGTTGGTGCCACCTTGTGGTTCATTACTGAAACCACAGCAGGCTACAGTCAAGTCTAACCACACAGGAGGTAGCACAGTTACAGGTTTAAAAATCACAGTTGTCACACTTACAGGTTCCAAAGCAACAGAAATGTTCATGTAAATTGTACATTTAAATCATGCCAGTTCAATAGAATTTTTTTTTTTTTAAGTCACACTGTTTTATGCAATCCTAACCCTTTATCTGGTCTGGCTTCTCCATGTTTCCCTTCACTTCGAGTACCTCTGAAGGACCACACTTCATAGGGGACTAACAAGTCATCACCCCAAACCACAGAACCGAACTGCTGACTCAAATTACTCTCCATCTACTCACCCTTCAAAGATTCTATCACTGATAAAAACTTCTACTTTGCAAAAACAAACAACCCGCACCCCTCCTGCTCCACCCCCCCCCAACTTCCCCCTAAAAAAAATAATAACAACAAACAAAACCCACAAAAAGAAGCTTATGACCACTTTGACTTGGTTATTTCTGGATGATCTCTGGGCCATAGCATCTCACACGGTAGACTCTCAGACTCATACGTCAAAATGAACCTGGACTGTTTTTGAAACCTTGTTCTCAGATTAGGCAAAAGCTAGCCCAGCCTTGCAGAAGCTCATACGAGAGGGCATCGGGGATCCTGCTGAAGTTCAGTGCCCTCGAGCCCACCCTCAGCACCCCCGAGCTTCAGTCCCACTACCCCGAGGCCATGACAGGTAGCTGGTAATTCGGCCCTCGGCCAGGAACAGGCAGTCCTGGGCATGGAAGCAAGGGCTGCCACTGCTAGCCAGAAAGCCCAGGATGTGGTCTCTGGTCCTAGAATATCTGCAGTTGTGTCCATCCCTTCACCCCACCGGCTCGGATTGTTCATGCAAACACTGATCTTGTGAGGGACACGGCGCAAGTATAGCAACTGAGCGCTGGCCACTCCAGGAGGCTGTATTTCTAACCACTTCCTGCAGCGGTGCCCAGATTTGGCAATGTCGCCACCTGCTGGCACACGAGGATGAAATTCTCAAGCAGGGATGGCATAATCCTGCAACTTCCAAATTCAACACTGCCTTGGTAATGCTTTGGTTTAAAAAAAAAAAAAAAAAAAAAAAAAAAGGGAACTGTGTCTGGGCACTTATGTGTCATAAGCACTATCTCTCTTGATTTTCACAACTGTTCTATGGAACAGACCCTATAGTATTATTACACCCATTTTACAAAATGGAAAAGAGGCACAGAGAGAAGATGGCGACTGGCAGGAAGGTAGGGAGGGAGAGTGTGTAAGAGAGTGAGGGAGCGACAGAGGTATGTGTGTGTGTGTGTGTGTGTGTGTGTGTGTGTGTGTGTGTGTGTGAAACAGGGACAGTGAGACCCTGCAGCTCTCCCAGGGGCTGCCAATCCGGGCAGTCTTAGATGGCAAAACCCCGCTGCTGCCACAGACACTCTGGCGAGGACACCAGTGGCAGAGACCACACCATCGTGAAGAACAGAACTGCTCGAGACTAGAATCCTAGCCTCGCCAACACGCAGTCTGGTCTCGGAAGCAAACCAGGACCCTACAGCCACTCTGGTAAAACACCTGAGGTCACGGCTGCAGACCCAGGGACACCAGGACTCCAGGCACCGGGCCGCAGATTTCTGTGAGTCACAAGGCCAATCCCCTTCCCCCGCCAACCCCACAGCAGAGACACAGAAACTACCAGACCCCAGCCCCACAGAAGGCTTTCTGCACACACAAAGCAGTGGCCACTCTGCCTGACTTTGAGCCTCAAGTCAGACACAGGATGTTTGTTTTCTGCGACCCGCCTCCGCGCCCAGGCAGGGAGACAGTCCTGAATTTGAGCACAGGCCCACGACCTTGGGGAAACGGTTTTTCTGAGGCCAGGTCCTGCACCCACACAGGGAGACAGCCTTTGAGTTTGAGCCTGGGGGTGCCAACCCAGGGAGTTTATTCCCAGGACCAGACCCTGCACCTTAGAGAGACTGCGCTGAATGTGAACCTGGATGTGCGGACTCAGGGAGTTTGTTCCCCACGATCAGACCCTGTGCCCACACAGGAGGGCAGCGCCGAATCTGAGCCTGGGCAGATGGACATGGGGAGTTTGTTCTCCACGGTGCACACCTGCGTGACCAGACCCCACGCCCACACTAAGGGACAGTGCCACCTGACTTTGATCCAGGGCAAGCGCACACAGGGCGGAAGGGGACCTCCTGCCAACACAGTGCGACTGAGCAACCCAGTCTCCCAGGCAGATCGGGGACCCTGCATCTCCACCCAAGAGGCAGCATTGACCACCAGGAACTAGACTCTGTACCTCATTACGTGCGCCTGAGATCCCTGGTTCCCAATACATGCACACTACGAGCCAGTGACTCCAATTCTTGGCGCACGTGCACACAGGGACCCTGATTCTCAGTGCGAGATAGCACCAAGAAACAGAGTCTCTGATACTCAGTTCTCGGCATGGACACAAGGAGCCTCTGACTCCTGACACGCAATAGGGGATTCTGATTTTTGGCTCACACTAGTGGGTTCTCAGTTTCAGCGTGGCGCAGGCAGGGTCCCTGATTCTAGGCACACACACACGAGGCCACACTAAGCGCCTGACTCTCTGACCCAAGGCAAGTGTGGCTCCCATCAACACACAGCAACCGCCCGTCTCGGTGTCAGAGCTCTTCAGTGATACTTGGGGGTGCAAAACACCCACTGCACATGGCCCAGGCCCCCGCAACTCGACATTTGAACCTTCTGGTGATCGTCAGATAGAGACAACATAATGAAAGAGAATTACAGGCCAATATCCCTCATGAACACAAATTCTAGCAAATCGGTTCCAGCAGTACATCAGAAAGATCATGCATCACAACCAAGCAGGATTTATCCTAGGGATGCAAGGATGGTACAATATCCACAAATCAATAAACGTGATACATCACATAAACAAACTGAGGGAGAAAAATCACAGTCCTATCAACTGATGCAGAAAAAGCATTTGACAAAATCCAACACCCATTCTTGATCAAAACACTCAGCATGGTGGGAATAGAAGAATCATACCTCAACATCAAAAACGCCATATATGATAAACGCACAGCCAGCATCACACTCAATGGGCAAAAACTAAAGCCATTTCTCCTAAGAACA